AAAAAAAAAAAAAAAAAAAAAAAAAAAAAAAAAAAAAAGATAAACCAGGTCATGTTGCTTCTCTGCTAAAACCCCCACTGCCTCCTCAGCATGCCTTGGAATCATGATCTGGCCCCTATGACCTCTGACCTCATCTCTCACGCCTCTTCCCTGGCCCACTCCCAGCCCCATTGGCCCCCTGGAACAGGCCCCTAACAGGCCAGCCCTAGGGCTGCACGGCTGTTCCCGCCGCCTGGCTTCCCTTTCCCCTTATCTTTGTACCTTCCCAATCACACTTCAGCTTAGCTGTGCCTCCTGAATCCCTCCCTGACCGCGGGATCTAAAGTAACTGATTATGTTTTCTGTGACAGCAGTTCGACTGAATGCCCCGCACAACACATAAGGCAGTCTCCTCTGATCTAGTTCCTCTGTCTTCTCCCCCTCCTGCTCCCAGAACGCCAAGTTCCCCGCAGAGGGCAGTGGCCTCTGCTGTTCGAGCCCTGCAGAATCCCCCGGGGCTGGAGCAGGCCCCGCGCGAGTAGGCGTCGAGTACACAGCTGAATGAACGGCTTAGCAACTGTAAATGGGGCATCAGCTGCTGCGCGGGCGCGCGCTCCAGGCCGTGGGCCGCTCACTGTCGCGTGCGCGGGTTTGATCTCGTTGCAGGTTCCGGGGGAGGGACACCCCCCTCAGCCCGCTGGCGGCAGACGCGCCGTAAAAGCGCTTTGGGGACCCGAGGATAACAACACAGACTTACAGGCAGTGGGAAGCCCGGGGGTCCGGAGAGGCCGCCGGTGGGGAGGGAGTTCTGACGCCGGCTCGGCGCCCCCGGACCCCAGCTTTCAGGCCCCGGTGGGAGACCTTCCTACCCTTCCCAGTGGTTTCCACCCTGCGAATCGCAGATTATCTCCCGAATCCCAGGGACTTAGCGGTCGAGTGGGAGGAGGGGGAGTGGGGCTCCGAGCGCCGCTTCGGGCACGTGGAGATTCCCGGAGCCCTCGCCCCATCGGGGCAGAGAGTACGGACACCGAGCTGCGGGACGCGGCTGGCAAGGCCCTGGCCCTGTCGGGGCGAGGACGCCGGAGGTCGGCTCAGCCCTGGGCTGGGAGTGGAGACGCAGCCCCGCCGCGCGCTCCGGCAGGGGACCCGGGTGGAGACGGGGGCGGAGGAGCCTGGGGGCAGGGAAGGGGACAAAGAGCCGTCCTGCCGCGGGGGAGAGCGACCCCCGAGTCACAGTCCTATTGTTCGCAGTGTCTCAGGCTGCCCTGAACTCTGGTGCCCCCGGGAGGGAGAAGGGGCGCCGTCGCCCAGATCGTGGGTATTTGTTTATCTGGGGAAAGGGAGGAGGGCGGGGGACGCGGGCCGGGGAAGGGGGCTCGACTGCCATTTCCGCGCGTCGCCTTTAAGGGAAGCCCGGCCCTACCTTTCCCACCGTCCCCCTCCCTGCAGCCGTACCTGCATTTTAAAAGCGCCCTGTAGCCCTGGGATTGGCCAAGGCCGCGTCCTCCGGGCGCAGAAACTTGAACCGCCGGGAGCCGGCTGCGGGCGGGGGTCGGAAACCCCGCGGATGGACCGTACCACTGCCGCGACTCCCCCGCGCGCGCCCCGCCCCTCCCGCACACCCCCGGAGCGGCCCAATCGCACGGGCTGGAGGGCGGGACCGCAGCCGGAACGCGCCTCTGAGAGGGCTCCGGCCGGGCGGGCGCACCGCGCGGGGGGACGGCGGGGGCCGCTCCTCGGCTCCCCAGTCGCCCTCGGGGGCGGGGTCGGGCCTTGGATCCCCGCCCACTCCCCGCCCGCAGTGGGCGGGGCGGCGGGGCCTCCGGGAGCGGGGCCGGGGGCGGGCCTCCGCCTGCCTCTCCACAGCCGGGAGAGAGCCCGGCACCTCGGCCGCCGACGCAGCAGCCGCCTCCGCTCGCTCAGCCCCGAGGCGCGCGGGATCCCGGGCAGCCCCGGCGGGCGCGGCGAGAGGGCGCGCGAGGCGGCGTGGGGCGGGCCGCACGCGCCCCCGGCCGCCCCCCGCCCGCACGCGGACCGGCCCAGCGGAGCCCCGGCGCGGGGAGCGCCGGCCGGGCGAGGGCGAGGGCGATGCCGCGGTGACGGCCCCGCCATGGCGAAGCCCGCAGCGACGGCGGCGGCGGCGTCGGAGGAGCTGAGCCAGGTGCCGGACGAGGAGCTGCTGCGCTGGAGCAAGGAGGAGCTGGCGCGGCGGCTGCGGCGCGCGGAGGGCGAGAAGGTGGGCCTCATGCTGGAGCACGGCGGCCTGATGCGCGACGTGAACCGGCGGCTGCAGCAACACCTGCTGGAGATCCGCGGCCTCAAGGACGTGAACCAGCGGCTGCAGGACGACAACCAGGAGCTGCGCGAGCTCTGTTGCTTCCTCGACGACGACCGGCAGAAGGGGCGCAAGCTGGCGCGCGAGTGGCAGCGCTTCGGGCGCCACGCGGCCGGCGCCGTGTGGCACGAGGTGGCCCGCTCGCAGCAGAAGCTGCGCGAGCTCGAAGCGCGCCAGGAGGCCCTGCTGCGCGAGAACCTGGAGCTCAAGGAACTGGTGCTGCTGCTGGACGAGGAGCGCGCGGCACTGGCGGCGGCGGGGGGTGCGGGCGGCGGAGGGAGCGGCGGCGGCGGCGCGGGCTCCCGCAGCTCCATCGACAGCCAGGCCAGCCTGAGCGGGCCCCTGGCGGGTGGCGCGCCGGGCGCGGGGGCCCGCGACGTGGGCGACGGCAGCAGTACGTCCAGTGCGGGCAGCGGCGGCAGCCCGGACCACCACCACCACGTCCCACCCCCGCTGCTGCCCCCCGGGCCGCACAAGGCCCCCGACGGCAAGGCAGGAGCCACACGTCGGTCCCTGGACGACCTGTCGGCGCCGCCGCACCACCGCAGCATCCCCAACGGCCTGCACGGTAAGGACTGCAGGGGCCGGGCGGCGCGGGTTTCCCGGGCTGCAGCCCCTTCACCAGCCTGCGATGAAGGCTGGGCCCAGGCGTGACGAGAGGATGTGGTCCCCGGCCGTCCCACTCGTGCAGCCGCCACTCCAGACCCCTCCTCCAGCTGTCATGGATCCTGGGCCAGGGGATCCCGCACCCACCCGAAGTTCGGCTTTGGGCGGTGGTGGGCCATTCCAGTGGTGAAGCGTGTTTCTGTCCAGCTTAGAACCTGCAGCCGGTCCGGTCCCAGTAAAATTTCCCTCAGGCGTAGTTGCCAAAATTAGCGTCTGGCACTGCTGGGCTGGCGGTGGGCGCCTCATCCCAGCCTTAGAAATCCTTGCCCAGCAGCGGAAAGTTCTAAACAGAAAAGAATACAAGGCCCCTTGAGCGCAAGTGAATTTCCCCTCTTGCAGCAACAGGTGTCCTCCAAACCAAACAGTGTCCACGTGTGCGCAGTGGCTGGAGTTCTGCAGTAAGGCGTGGGGATTGGGAAGGAGCACAGGCAGCCGCCTTGAGACCCAGAGGCAGCTGGGAAGAGGCCTGGGGCGAAGAACCTTTCTGGTTTGCCATAAATTCTGCCCTTCTGGTCCCAGGACCTTTCTCAGCCAAGGCTCTAAGACTTTTCCTAGGGAGATGTATTTGGAACGGATCCTAACTTTTCTCCTCTGCGTGCCTCAGTTTCTTTGTCTGTAAAATGGAGATGATGACCTCTGCCTCATGGGTTTGAGGCGGAGATAAACCTTCTGAAGGGATTTGTAAACTGTTGATCGCCCTACAGGAAGTGCCGTGGTCGTCTGCGACCAGGGTGTGGGTGGGAGGACCTTTGGCCTCTGGAAAACTCAGCGGCTGTCTTCCATGCCCATGTTCCTGCTGCGCCCAGTGCAGAGGGTAGCCCCAGCTTGGGGCTGTGGGATCCTGCCGCCTGCGCCCCCTCCCAGCCCCCTGCCCAGTCCTGCTGCTGCCTGCCTGCCGGCTTTCTGGTCCCTGCGGAGGATCTGGGGCCTCCCTGGTCTTCACACTTTTGGTAGCTTGGCTTCTAGTTCTGGTGGTAGTTGCAGCTGCCTGAACTTTTTGCCTGATGATGGATAATCAACAGTCCTTTCTGGTTCCTTTTAAAGCCTTTCCTAATTCAGAGAAAGTCTCTTCCCTCCCCAGAACCCCTCAGCCTGAGCTGGGGAGGGCTGTTTTCTCCTTGGTTTGGTGGCCAAGTGGCCTCTGCAGGCGTGTTGGGGTGGGGGCTGGGGTGGGAACCATACCCGTGGAGCTGGGGCAGGGGGCAGTGCAGCATATTTTTCCTTTATTTACCATCCTGGGTCTGTAGGTTCAGGGCAGGACTGGGTTTAGAGGGATATTTTGTTACTGATTAGCAATCTATGGCTACAACTCGGGTTTCTCTTTGTAACACTGTATCCACCCCCACCTCCCACTGCCGGCTGCTTCAGGCCAGTGTGACTAGGGCAAGGTCTGGTGGTTTAATTTGTTGGAGCTGTTTAGAGCACCTCAGTCTCTTTGACCTCACCATCCTTTTGAAGGGTCAGTTATCTGGGCCTCAGTTTCCCCAAGTGCAGTACAAAGGAGCAAATTGCTGCAGTCTCATGGCTGGAAAATGAAATGTTTCTGGTTTTTAGCTGCGTCATCAATGACACTTGGCTAGAGTGCCTCTCTGCAGGACACTGGAGGGCTGGAGTGTTCAGAGCCTACTTGCAGGAAAGGCTCTGTTGTGTTTTGGGCCAGGAGATGCACCTGATCTGGCTCAGCCTGGCTCAGCGTGGCAGCTGCGACAGTGAATAATGCAGGAGTGGAGGACCAGGCTGGACTGAGTTTTCTGCCCCACTGGGGGCCCGTGGGGGTGAAGTATAGGGTTTTCCACAGAACCCATCCTCTCCCAGGTCCGCTTAGCACAGGACTGCTGCAGATGTGGCAGCAAACCTTTGCTTTGGGGTAAAATGAAAATTCAGCATTATTATTATTAATTTCAGTTACAGAAGGAATTCTTCTTATGCAGTTTTGTTTCTTAAAGCCACGTGTGGCCTTGAGAGGTTGTCCCACTAATATAAACAGAATGCTGGGAACCAGGAAAGGTCCTTCTCTTGAAAACTGAGCTTTTCCTTTTTTTCGAACTAGGGTGTCACTCTGTCACACAGGCTGGAGTACAGTGGCACACTCATGGCTCACTACAGCCTCAGCCTCCCAGGCTTAAGTGATCCTCCCAGCTCAGCCTCCCGAGTAGCTGTGATTAGAGGCATGAGCCACCTTGCCTAGTGAAAGCGGGCTTTTCTATCCTGAGACATGTAGCTTTAAGTTGAGCAAAGATTGCCCCTGAGCTGAAGGAGATAACGGGTCTGGGTGGTGTCTAAAGTGGGGTCACACACCAGGCCTGCGCCTTCTATGCTTGGTCTTAGCACTTCCCAGGAACCCTGGGGAAGCAGTATTGTCCCTCTAAGCAAGGCTTAGAGGGCCTCCTAGCCTTGCCTGGGAAGGTGGCTGACTGGCAGTGTCTATCCTGGGTGGGTTTGCTGCCGGGATCATCTCCCGTTCAGGGTATGGGTCTAAAACTGTTGTGCTTTTAGCCTGTTGTCTTGTTTGCTGTTACTGTTAATCAGGGGACACTGGTGACTCCCTATTCTTGATTCCTGACCCAGGTTTGCCCTCTTTCTCCCATGCTGGGAAGTGTCACTTCCTTATCGGTGACCATTGAGCAGATGGCTGATAACCCCATTACCCAGAGGCCGAGGCTGACTTCAGTCTGAATCTCAGCTCCTCCATGTATATTGGGCAAGCTATTAACTGGCCAAGCCCCACTCTGTGCCTCTTCTGTAAGGTGGACAGAACCCACAGTGCCCCATTATCTACACAAGGTTGAGTGTGGTCATGATCTACACACAGTAGGTTTCACCTGCTGTACAGTCCTTGGGGGTTCACCCAACAGACCTTGGTTTCCTCTTCAAAACTGCTGGCTGTTTGGACTGCTCACCTGAATTTTGCATCCAAGCCCCTTGTGTGGACACATTTGCTGATGAGCTAGTGGGGACAGTGGCCCTACCGTCCTTTCTGGGGAGCTGGTGGCAGTTGCAGCCCGGCTGGGTGCCCTGGGAGGACTCCAGTGGTTGAGGTGGGAGGTGGCCCATCTGTATGCAAGGCAGCCCCTGGCTGAGGCTGGCCTGGCAGGCCTGGTTATGCACATGCAAATAGGCTTTTCTCCTTGGCTGGCTTTTTTTTTTTTTTTTGAGACAGGGTCTCACTTGTCACCCACACTAGAGTGCAGTGACAGTATCATGGTTTGCTGCAGCCTCAACCTCCTGAGCTCCAGTAATCCCCTTGCCTCAGCTTCCTGAAGCTACTGGGATGACAGGCATGTGCCACCGTGCCCAGCTAATTTTTGTATTTTTTGTAGATAAATAAATAAATAAAAACAGGGTCTCACTATGTTGCCCAGGTTGGTCTCGAACACTGGGCTCAAGCGGCTCTCCTGCCTGGGCCTCCCAAAGTGCTGACATTACAGACGTGAGCTGCTGCACTTGGCCTTGGCTACCTTTGATAGAGGTCTGGTCGGGGCTGACTGGACTTGGGACTAGGGTGTGCTGTGCTCTAATCCAGTGTGGCACACGGAGGCAGGAGAACCCCAGACACCAGAAAGTCAGGTTCTCCTTCATGAACTCATAGGATTTTCAAACCAAACAAATTTCAGTTCTTTTTCCACCTGCTCCTCCTCTGTACCGTGTGCCCACCACAGGCACCAAGCCCCCCTCCCGCCCATCCCCAGGCGATTGCTCCCCTCCCCAGATTACCTCCCCTCCATGGCCCACTCCCCTTCAGCAGCACAGAGGAACCAGAACTTCTACCAAGCCTGTGGATAAGCCCCATTTATGTTTTAAAGTTTGGACTAATGTTTTGAGCTTCTCAAAATGGGACAGGTTTGTTCTCTTGCTGTTGTTTTTTGTTGGTTTAAGAGGGAGGATGGAATGGGGTGGTCTGGGCCTTTAAAAAAAGACAGAGCATGCTGACTCTGAATAGGGCTTTTCTGTGCAGCAGCTTCACTAAGAAGGCTGCTTTTCCTAAACCCAGTCAGTCCCAGGAGCAAAGGTCAGTGAAGACAATGGGGTGGGTTAGGTAAGCCTTTCCCCCTCCTTCCCCAGCCTGTCCCAAGGGATCCATCAATGGCCTTAGGATGCTGGGCCTCAAAAACGAGGGCTAGCCTTGAGAGGCTCCCAGGCAGATGACCCAGGGGTGGGTGAGCTGTGCCAAGCGCTTCGCAGTTTGCCACAAAGATCATCCCAGTCCCAACTCCATTCTGTTCAGAGCTTCCAAATGGTCCCAGGAGGGAGACCTCGGCATCTCTGTACCTTAGGTGGGGAAACTGGGGCTTGGAGTGGTGGTGCAGTGACTTGCTCTGGGTCCTGTGGGGCTGGAGGGGGGGCCTGGGTTGTGTCTTGGGTCCCTGTGTCAGAGTTCTGAGCCTGTGGCCCTGTGCCCACTGCCCAGGGAGTGCCAGGGGAGTGGTGACCTCTGCCACAGGGCACCTCCTCCCAGGATGCCAGGCCCTGGGCTTCATTCCTGCCTCCCTGTGTCCTGGCATGAAGGAGGGGTGAAGCCTGCGGGGGCTGTGCCTCCACCCCTCACTTATGCCTGAGGCTGGCTTCCCACCACAGTGGTCACCATACCAGCACTCTTGCTCAGACCCGGCTCCAAGTTCCCAGACCAGCACGTGATACGCAAGGAAATCAGTTATTGCTCTTAATCCGTTTTCCACCCGTGGGGATTTTCCAATCCGTGCCCATGGCCTTCATTTGTGCAGAGAATTGAAAGTCTGTTAGGGAAGTTCCTGAGCCTCCACGGGGCTCTGCTTTCTCATCTGCAAAGTGGGAAAATGTTACCAGCCTTTGTGTTGAGGGAGGAGGGTGTGTAATGAATGATAGTGTAGCCTGTGCAGTGTGGCAGCTCCTGATGTGTGAAGCCCCTTTCTCCCCCTGCTGCAC